ATAATTACCACTAGGTGCTGTGCTTATGGGCAAATCTGTTTTCCTTGTCTATCTGTGTGCTTTTCTGTAATCTCTAATTCTGACAATTACCTTTGTTAATCAAAAGCAACAGTATGTTTACTGGACAAAAGAAGAAGGAAAAAGGGCACTGACACTGGGGCTGCATCCTGATCTAAGAATATCCACAATAAATATCCAATAAGCAGCATTCCGTTTGACAATCAGATATATAAAAGACAGACTAGAGTTTGGTAAGTAAAGACTGACTTAGATGACAAAGCATCAGAAGTTCCCTGCAGAATTAAAGTAGAGGCGTATCTCTGATCTCGAACAACTCCTCAGGCCAGAGGGGGCGCAGCACTTCTCCCTGTGCCCAGTGGAAAGGAAAAGACCAGAGGAGGCTCCAACACCTTTCAAGTGGCCCGTCACTAGAAAAAACAGGCTCAGAAAGAAAAGACTGAAACCCATGCAAGGCTCTCCCTGGGACCCTATCCTCCCTGTTCCCATACCTCCCTTAAGCTAAATCCACTTTCAGAAAATATTTTCTAGACAGCAGACATCAAGAGAAAAAGGGGTCTTTCTCGCTGTGGCGTTCATTCCCCGCATACGGCACTGCTCTGAATAGAGGCTTTGTGAGGGAGGGTCCAAATACCACAGCCCTGGGTTACACCGCTAACCATAAACAGCAGTAAATAGATGTGAGGGTTTGTACACCCAAGCAGCAGAGGTACCAGGGACAAGTAAGTATTCCATCACATTCCAAAACCCAGTAAATGTTTACCAGGCACCTACGAAGTGCAGGACACTATTTCTAACACTCCCTAACAGACACACAAGCACACGTGCACACATATATACAGTTCCTTTGTTCTGTTCTAGGGCTGAGACTAGAAAAGCGATGATTTAGGCTGGTGGCATTTGACAGTTTAATCTGACATATCATACATCATCTCCTGGACTGGGAAGAGGAGCAGGCAGAGTGGAAGTCCCTCCCTCCATCCCCCTTCTGGAAGGATCAAAGAGACACAGCACTGTGTCCCACTACTAGAGGCCCCGACAAAGGGGACTGGCCCCTGCAGAGGAGCTCTCAGCCTTCCTACAACTCCACAGACAGCATCTAGGGGAGCAGGGCCACCCAAGGTCCTGGTCCTGGGGGGAACTGTATCACAGGTATATCTGCCAGGTCCCTCCCACGCCCAGTAACAAGGCCCACCAGCAACTCCCCCCCCCCATACATACTTTTGCCCCCATTGTTCTTCAGGATGTTGGAGAGGTTGACAGAGGCGGTGCCTAGCAGCTCATTTCTCAAGGTGTGGCAGCTCCAGACTTTCAAATCTAAATGACTCTGGGCCGTGACATTCCTGGAAAACAAGTACTTGATTCATCACTTCCAAGCAGATCAGTGACTCCTATTAACTTAGAAGAAAAGAGTTAAACTATACCGCTGACATCTTGGCGGCAGAACCAAGACAGGGAGACACCCACATATACCCTTTCCCCCTCAAAGCTGACCCATAACCCTCTAGCTAATAATGGACATTCTATGAGCTCAATGCCGTAGGAACACCTATAGGTACCCAGTCTCACCTTGGGTACCACAGGCAGGAGAGGCTGGGGCGCCACAAGAACCCTGTACCTTCCACAACCTCCTCGGAGCACCCTCTCTCCTTTCCCCAGCTTACTGCATTCAAAAAGAAGGGACTTTCTCTTACAAAATGATGATCTCATTCCAGAGAAGCTCAGAGCTCCCAATGCGCTTCCCAGTCTTCTTGGTCTCACTGGGGAGTCCATCCACTGCCACCTCCACGTAGGAGTTAATTCGAGGTTGACGATTATGTACCTTGGGCTTTGCTGACACCACTGGACGAGAAAGAAAGGAAAAGTCAGATGAGTCAGAGGGCTTCCAGATGCCCCCCTGTGGCAGAGGCTCTGGCTCTTTTCAGGTGTTTCTTTAAAAAAATAAAATAAAATAAATTTTGTTTTGTCCTGATTCAAAAAACTTTTTCTTTTTTCTTTTCCCTAGCTCTTCTCTCTAAAAACATTTTTTAAAAATATGAGTGTATAAAAAAGGATGAAGTAGAAGGAAAAAAATCACTCTTAACCTGACACTACTAGGATAATTACCATTAATTATCATCTCCAATTTATCCTGGGTAAATCTCCTGTTAGATGTTCATCTTTCATTTCCTCAATTCTTTAAAATTTCTTCTCCCCCCTTTAACCAATCTTAAATGACTGCAACCTCAGCCTATAGTATGGATATGCTACTATTCTTTCATTGTTAAAAAGACTGCTTATAGAGCAGCACCTGTAGCTCAGTGGGTAGAGCGCCGGCCACATACACTGAGGCTGGCAGGTTTGAACACGTACTGGGCCAACTGAAACAACAATGACAACTGCAACAACAACAGAAAAATAGTCAGGCAGTGCCTGTGGCTCAGTGAGTAGGGTGCCAGCCCCATATACCTGAGGTGGTAGGTTCAAACCTGGCCCTAGCCAAAAACTAGAAAAAAAAAAAAAAAAAAAAATCTGGGCATTGTGGCGGGCACCTGTAGTCCCAGCTACTTAGGAGGCTGAAGCAAGAGAATCGCTTAAGCCCAGAAGTTGGAGGTTGCTGTGAGCGGTGATGCCATGGCATTCTACCCACGGCAACAGCTTGAGACTCTGTCTCAAATAAATAAATAAATAAATAACAAAAGAAAAATACTGCCTGTAACTTTCAGCTCTGGGAAAATTATCCTGAAGGTGTGCATGCATTTTTTGAGTATTCCTTCAAATAATACAAACATTTTTTAAAAGTTCTTGGCAGGGCATAGTGGCTCACACCTGTAATCCTAGAACTCTGGGAGGCCAAAGTGGGAGGATTCCTTGAGCTCAGGAGTTCAAGACCAGCCTGAGCAAGAGCAAGACCCCATCTCTACTAAAAATGGAAAAGTTAGCCAGGCATTGTAGTGGGCATCTGTAGTCCCAGCAACTCAGAAGACTGAGACAAGAGGATCCTATTCACTCCATTAGTGCAACAGGAGTATATCTACTTACTTTTGGCCAATCACACAGGTAAAGATAAAATAGTATAAAGAGAACAGCTAAGATTTAATGAGCACTTATTATAGACGCTATGCCATATATACATTATCTAACCAAATCCTCACAATGAACCCAGGAGGCACAGACTATATCAGCATTACCACCCCCAACTTACCAGGGAGAAAACAAGGTCACTGGGAAGCAAGGTCACTGCCCCAGGTGACATAGCCAGGAAGCTCCAAGCCACAAGGTACACCCAGCCAGTCCTAGTCCACACCATGCTGCATGTCACTACCAAAATTAGTTTATTTGTTCCATTGCTGTTCTTTAATACTAGTGAGGTGGAATATTTTTCCCCTGCACTTATTAGCAAATTGCATTTCCTCTTTGGCTCCCAGGCCTCATGGTTAAGCAATTCTGATGTTCCTTTAAGCCCAGCAAGCCAAAGCGCCAGAGGACATAAAGCTAAGACTACAGGAGACAGCTAGACAAGCACCCTGGTGTCACAGGCATTCCCCCCGCTGGGAATTCTAGGTCTAGGAAGAAGCACTTCTTCCATCCTGTGCCCCAAATCCAAGGATGATGTCCCTTGCCGATAATGACAAGATTACTCTAGCCTGAGCTCCCCTCTGTGGAATATGAGCAAACATCTTCCTGCCAGACCCTCTGACCATCCTATAACAGTCCACAACTTGGCAAAGACCAAATCCACCTCTAGATTGTTTTTTTGTAATAACTGTCTTTCTTTCCCAAGCCCCAAAGGAACTGTAGGAAAGAAGCCAAGAAATAAAACAAGACAACAACAAAGAAGTTGTGGCCAAGACTCAGAAGCAACGTGGGATGGTTCTAAGAATAAAGCTCTGTGGAGTGGAGGCAGGGCCCAGATGGCCCAGAGCAGGAAAAGGAGGGATGGCAATTCACATGTGGATGGAGGTTAACTGAGGCCACCTGGTGGTGAGAGCATAGATCTGCATGCCTTTTACTTAAAAAAAAAAAGAAAGAAAAATTGGGGACAACACAGTTGAACAGGATGGTCTGGCTTAAGATTTTTCCACTTTGCAATGTTGCAAAAGAGCAGTACGAATCATACTTTGAATTCGGAATTTTGATCTCTCCCCAGACTAGCCATATGAGGTACTACTGGGCAGCAGCAGCAAACAGCAACTCCTAATCAGCCCCAGGATCACGATCACAGGCAAAGAACGGATACTCTGCGGGGCACTATGTTGCCAGATGGTTTTGCCCAGCGTAGGCCAATGTAAGTTTTCTGAGCACTTTAAGGTAAACCAGGCTAGCTGGCCACAGTGGCTCACATTTGTAATCGCAGCACTTTGGTAGGCCAAGGCAGAACTGCTTGAGGCCAAGAGTTCAAGACCAACCAGGTGGACAACATAATAACACCCTGTCTCTATAAAAATATAAAAGAAATTAGCCAGACATGGTGGCACCCAACTATAGTCTCTGCCCAGATACTTGGGAGGCTGAGGTGCAAGTGTCTCTTGAGCTCAGGAGAATGAGGTTGCAGGGAGCTATGATTACAGAGCGAGACCCTATCCCTTCACACACACACACATACACACACATGATGTTCAGTAGGATAGATGTGTTAAATCCATTTTCAATTTACAATATTTTCAACTTACAGGTTTTTCAAGTCAAGGAGTATATAAACTTTTTTTTTTTTTTTTTGAGAAGAGCCTCAAGCTTTCTCCCTGGGTTAAGTGCCATGGCATCCCAGCTCACAGCAACCTCCATCTCCTGGGCTCAAGTGAGTCTCCTGCCTCTGCCTCCCAAGTAGTTGGGACCACAGATGTCCTGGCTATTTTTTGGTTGCAGCCATCATTGTTGTTTGGCAGGCTCAGGCTTGATTCAAACCCCGCCACCTTAGGTGTATGGGGCTGGCACCCTAGCCACTTGAGCCACAGGCGCCAAGCTGAATATATGAACTTCAAACTAGAGACATATAATTTTGAACTAAATAATCTCTCTAAAATCAAGTTCAAACTCTTTGTTTCACAGTTGGTCCAATTAAGATTCAGGAAGGTTTCAATTAGCAATAATCATACCTCTGATAAACCTCATTGGCTATGCTACTGCCACTGTGCAAAGCTTAAGACTCAGGAAGGTGAAATAACTTACCCAAAATTACAGAGCTAACCAGAGAAGAGCTAAGACAGGAACCAAGTCTCCCAGCTCCTAGGCCATCGCAACCTACCCTGAGGTATCCCCCTTTTGTGTCCTGTAGCTTTTTTTCTTTAGAATTTTTTTTAACTTTTTAAATTTTGATAAAATTAATTTCAGGCTTAGAGAAAACTTGCAAGATTAATGCAAAGAATTCCTCAGAGTCACCCAATTTTAACTTCTGACTATATGGCCTTTATTCTTTTTCCCTCCCCTAACTCTCTCATGCACTCGCATATTTTCCTGAAACATATTTTTTCCTGTGTATACTATACAAGGGGTATCCAACCTGTGGCCCACGAGCTACATGCTGATTTTGTGAGAACTGTTTTGCTTATGTGTGGTGTCGGTTATCACAAAAAGTATACACAGACTATTTTGCTAATCAGTTTTCTTTTTCTTTTTTTGCAGTTTTTGGCCAGAGCTGGGTTTAAACCCACCACCTCCAGCATATGGGGCCAGTGCCCTACTCCTTTGAGCCACAGGTGCTGCCCCCATGCTAATCAGTTTTCATTAGTGTTTTGTGCTGAATGTGTGGCCCAGGGCAACTTTTATTCTTCCAAAGGGCAAAAGAAAAGAAAAAAAGTTGGACACCCCTGAAGTGGACCCATTGTGCCCCTTCACTCCTAAATACTTCTGGGTGTATTTCCTAAGAACCAAGACATTTTCGACTCTTATAATCACCAGGATGATAGTGTATGTTTCTTTTTCATTTTTTTTTTTTTTTGGAGACAGAGTCTCAAGCTGTCGCCATGGGCAGAGAGCTGTGGCATCACAGCTCACAGCAACCCTGGGCTTAAGCAATTCTCTTGCCTCAGCTTCCCAAGTAGCTGGGACTACAGCGCCTGCCACAACGCCTGGCTGCTATTTTTTGGTTGTAGTTGTCATTGTTGTTTGGCAGGCCCAGGCTGGATTCAAACCTGCCAGCTCCAGTGTATGTGGCTGGTGCCCTAGCCATTTAAGCTACCGGCACTGAGCCTATGTTTCTTATTCTTAAAAATCAAGCCAAAATGTACCTTCCATTACCCATGGAGATAAAAAAGAACAAAACAAACAACAAGCCAAAATAAAAGCCTCAAGATAAGAGCAACTTTGTCTAGAAAGTCTATTTACTGTTTCATAAGATAGAAATGCCAGTTTATTATACATGGAATCACAGAACTGTGTGCTAATCTTCACACAGAACTTAGTTTTTAAAAGTCAACACATACAGCAAAAATTGCATAATACTCAAATTATACCCCTTACAAAGCTCTTAGGAAAGCACCACAATAGAGTCTGGCACACTGTCTTTCAACAGGCTCCAGATAAGTTTTTGCTTTGTTACACCATATTTTTCAGTATTCCATTTTCAGTGTTTCTTGAGTTAAATATCAAATAAAATAGCTAGCTTATGTTCAAGGGGCTTGGTGCATAAAACTCTAGGATCACACTGTGGACAGGCACCAGGGAACAGAGGCAGACAGAAGGAACTGCATAATGACACCCACCTACCCACTGTCTCCATGAAATGCTTGGGAAAAGAGCCATCCATGCAACACAATAACCAAGAAAATGCCGTGAAGGCTATGTTGACCAGTTTGATGAAAGCATTTCAGATTGTGTGTAAAACCAGCACATTGTACCCCATGATGGCATTAATGTACACAGCTATGATTTAATAAAAAGTAAAATAAAACAGAAAAAGAACCATCCATGCTATTTCAATCATTATTTCTCTTTCTCCTTCTCCCCCATTTTCCTGGCTGATATTATCAACTCTTTGTAGGCTATATACACATATAATGAGATATACCTGTATTATCAGGTCAGCTCTTTCCACACTAGTAAGAAAATTTACCTTGAAGAAAGGCAAGAGAGAAACCTTTAGATTAAGTGTGTGTTCCTGAATAATTTGACCCCAAAATGGAGACCTGGGGATGCTGCCAGTTTCCATGAGCAGGCTTCTGCTTTGACCCCATTAAAAACTGTAGTTCCTACTTCAAAACTGTATCCGTTGACTCTAACCCATCTCCCTACTTAAAAAGGCTGGAACTGCCATGAAACTCCAAGAAAAATAATAGAAATGTTTCAAGACTACAAAAAAATCAATAACTCAATAGGAAACAGGCAAAGAATATGAATACACAATCCACAGAAAAGGAAATCCAAATGTCCTTAAATGTGTAAGATGCTATACATCATTTATAATTGCCCCTTGAACAACTCAGGTTTGAACTGCGAGGGTTCACTTACATGTGGATTTTCTTCAGTCTCTGCCACACCTGTGATAGCCAGCCCAACCCCTCTTCTTCCCCCCATTCCTCAGCCTACTTAATGTAAAGATGGTGAGGATGAAGATCTTATTACTTATTACTTTATTTGTAAGAACACTAGGTTTACAGACATGAGCCATCAGCTTACTCTTTTTAGAGGTAGGGTTTTAAGTTGTCACCCAGGCTGGAGTGCAATGGCATGATCATAGTTCACAGAAGCCTCCAATTTCTGGGCTCGAGCAATCCTCCCACCTCAGCCTCCCCAGTAGCTGGGACTACGTGCACACACCACAATGTCCACACTCCAGTTTATATTTAATCAAGATCACTGGCTGCTATGTAACCAACAGACTGGAGGAGGGCAAAGGGCAGAAACAGACGGGCTAGGAAGGTACTGCCTTAATACAAGGTGAAGATGATGACAGCTTAGACTAGGCCAAAACCAAAGGTGTGGTAAAAAATGGCAGAGTTGGCTCGGCACCTATAGCTCAACCGGCTAGGGCGCCAGCCACGTACACCTAAGGTGGCGGGTTCGAATCCCCAGCCCGGACCCGCCAAACAACAATG